AACTTTTAGCTTTTAAACTAAAACTAACCATATTCGAAATACCTTTAATGTCCAGAGGTAACTTATTCCACAAAAGTGCCCCAGAATATCTAAAAGACCTACGACCATACATAGTTTTAAAACGACATAATGTAATATCCATGAGACTTTGCCTAGTTTTATAACAATGTTGCTCATTTACCCTAGGAAAAAATACATTAAAATATGAAGGAGCTCTGTTATTGATAATCTTATGTACCATTTTTTATTTAATATGTTCTAGTCTGCTTTCTAACCAATCAAGACACTTAAAATGGGAAACCTCCACATGTGTAAAACGACTAAACCCTGAAACTAACCTTATCAATTTATTATATATATATTATTATAGAGATTTTTGTAACTTATCCAACCAACGACGAGACAAATCAGACATCCAAGAAATACATGCATATTCGAAATGGCATGACACTAAACATGATGCAAATAATTTTATATTCTGTTTATCAAGAAAACTAACTAAAACTAACTAGACTTTAAAAAAATAACAACTTCTAATTTAAGTGAACTTAAAACAATCTGGTTAGAGAGTTGGACTCGTAACCCAAAGGTTGCGGGTTCGAGTCTCGTACCGGCAGGGATTGTAGGTTGGGGGAGTGAATGTACAGTGCTCTCTCCCACCTTCAATGCCACGACTGAGGTGTCCTTGAGCAAGGCACCGAACTCCCAACTGCTCCCCGGGCGCCGCAGCAAAAACAAATGGCTGCCCACTGCTCCGGGTGTGTGTTCACAGTGTGTGTATGTTCACTGCTGTGTGTGTGCACTTTGGATGGGTTAAATGCAGAGCACTAATTCCAAGTATGGGTCACCATGCTTGGCCACATGTCACGTCACTTTTTGGATATTCATTCCTCTGGATGCTGCAAAGGAGGCCTCATTGACTAACACCTAAACCCCCTCAGGCCACTGCAGTCCCCCATGCATGTAAGGCTGACTCTTCCCACTGATATTGATCATAGAACATCTGTGACAATAAACTTGTTCAAACTGATACTTCCCTCTGTGGTGTTCTGACCAACACACCTGGTTCACTGTGATCCGAGTTAGCCCTAACAGTATCAGGTAGCCCTTCACTACACTCGCCCTGACATTTGGAGGCTGTGGGTGTGGTCAATCAGTGGTAATGCTAATGGCTTCTGGTCTTCCTGCTGGTGTTCAGGACATTATCGATAACGCTCAGTCTCCGTCTCCTCCTCCTTTATTTTTCCAAGTGCAAGGTCTTTGAGTCATGGTGTATGGCTTGAGCAGTGGATCCAGTCAGTTGCCCAGTAGGTTCAGTGCTGGAATTCCTACAAGAAAAGTTTGCTGCTGGATCCATACTTTGAGGGTTTGTGTTACATCCATTGCCGTTTCTTTGTTTATACATGGTGTTGTGTGCTTGAGGCCTGCGTGTCCTATTAATGTTACATACTGGGACTTTATCAATCATCCTGGAGGGATTATCGGAGCTGCCTTTTGAACCTTTAGAGTCAGCTCCTGACCGGATTCTGATCCTTGAAGTTATGACCCCAAAGTCTTGTCATTCTGTTCCCAAGTGGTCATGCTTCATGCCTTCTGTCCTTCTCCCTTTGCTTCCTCGGAGGAGAAGAGGCTTCATCTATTTTGCCCTGTTCAGGCCCTGAAGGCTTATATGGACTGTTATGGCCAGTGGCACAAATCGTCCCAATGGCTAGTATGTTTTGGTGCTGGCCGTAGAGAGCTTGCCACCTCCAAGCACAGGATTTCTCATTGGGTGAGAGACGCTATCTCTCTAACTTATGAGGTGCGGGGCCTCCCTTCACCTCTAGGCTTTAGAGCTCACTCTACTGGGAGTGTTGAATCCTCCCAGGCTCTTTTTAGAGAGGTCCCTTTGGAAGATATTTGTGTTGTGGCAGGGTGGTCCTCCCCGCACACTTTTATCAGGTTTTACAACCTGGATTTGGATGCGGCTCCTGGTTCCCAGGCCCTTTGTACATGAACCAGTCATTTGAGTTTAGTTTGGTTCCCACTCTTCAGGCCAGATGCAGCAGTGCTTAGCTTGGCGTGTGTGGTTTATCATTCCCATTCCCATTTTGAGATATTCAGCACCGCTCCCATTCCGTCTTTGCTACACAGCGGCTCGTTCACTATTCAGGGAACATGGGTTACGCAAGCAACATGTTTTTGATTGATTGAAAAGAACTGGTTCATAAGAATAATTAATTCAGGATTCTTAATTTATGTTTATTGCATTTTTTATATATATTTTTAATAAACAATAATTATTTAAATTAAAATAATTTGTATAAATTTTCTTCTTGCAAGAAAACAAACAATGATTACAGGAATAAACAATTCTTTGCCACCAATGAATTTATAAAAGTCACCACACTGTGGCAGTAGATAAGAACAATACCCTCAACAAAAAGCCCATTTGGGAAAAGAGGAGAGAGCAAAAAAGAGACAGAAGAGAGAGAGAGAAAGAGAGAGAGAGAGAGAGTCAGTGTAAAACTGTTCTCAACGTTTTTCCAAAAAGTATCCATGTCACTCCCCCTTTCTATTCAAGATAAATTCCCATTTTCACAGAGATCCAGACAATACCAGACAGAATAAAATAATTTTATGACGTTTTCAAATGAACTCAAGTCACGTTCAACATATGCCTCAAGGGCACGCTGAGGCCAGCATTTCTAGAAGCCTGAAACACATCTGTGGCAACAGCACAGCTGCATTAGAGCTATTTGAGCGTGTGTCTTTTGTGAGGGAGTAATTCAGGCCAGTCTGACTGGAGCTCTGGGACTCTGCCACAGACATGCACTGAGACCAGACCTGCTCCAACCTGGATGGATCAGAGACTACAGAGGCTGCAGAGGAAATCATCTCCACCGAAGTTGGATGTTTTGGTTTGAGGCTTTGCTGGGAATTGCCATTGACTTTTGGAAGGTTGCAATTACCAGACTGGAATAATGTCCATGGACTGGCGTGGAGGTGAAAGGCTGCTTATAGGCTTGTTTGTGATCCTTATCCTGAGGCTCAGCCACTGTGCTGGACAAAGCTATGAACGCTGGGAGGCTGGGTCCTCATGCTATGGAGGGTTTGACCTTTACTTTGTGCTGGACAAGTGAGTTTTTTTTTTATTTTTTTAATTACCATAAGCTTTGAGAGTGTCTTGTAAAATGACACCTGAGAATCTGTTGCTGGTTAGATGACCAAAAGTCAAGCAGGCATTCATAGCTATTACTGTAGGTCTCCAAAGAGACACATCAGGCAGCATGGAGCATCATTACAGTCTCTCATGCTCTTGCTGCTGCCAATCATGTGTGAAACATGAGGTTTGAATGTGCCCATATATCTGGCATAATCCATCTGCAATCTGAAGGTCTTTGAAATGTATAATTTACCTAACATTTCTATTCTCTGCAGCATATCGTAGGTGTCTCAGAGGGTCAGCTCCTGTATCACCTAGGCAGTTTTGTGAGAAAGCATGAAAACATATACACATGGTCATCTCATCTGTCACTTATACTTAAGTGTACACTTATACTAAATTATACAAGCTCCACTTACGCAGCCAAAATCCTCAAACACAGAACTGTGCTGCAGCACTAGCTCTTCTTTTGCATTTTTGAATTGCTATGTGGATGCATATGTAACCATTTACCATAAAAATAGTAACTATGAGGATAACAACCCACCTCCAGAAAACAGAAAGAGCTTGGCAAAGACAAAAAGAAAACCTGCACACTAAAGTCATCTTTTAAGGGTGTTGAAAAATACACTATGAGAGTTCTTTCAGATTACACTGTGGGATATTTTGGGTTTAAATGATTATTTTACTTTGTCTAGCTCTATTAAATTATGGTTTGCCCTGGGTTTGGTTGCTTAGTATATTTAATATATTCAGTTCAAGAACAAATACAACAGTCTGAAATAATTTTAGGGTCATTATTCCATAGAAAAGCCTAGAATTTTGATGCGGGTGTCATGAGGTGAAGGTGAGGGTATCCGAGTATAGCATTCAAGGGTGTTTGGATTTCTCATGTGCTGAACCTTTTCACCAGCAAGGCCAGATGTTCCAAAGCCTCAGAGCTGTTTTGAAGCAGAGTTCGTATCTGAACACAAATGAAATGGGAATGAGAAAGAGACTGGGGGGAGGGAGAGAGAAGTGGAGAATGTATGCCATTGTTTAGTCATGCCAGTAATATTCTTCATTTAAAAACAAAGATAAACTCTAGACATGTGAACAGTGCAAACCCTTTGATGAGTTTAGAGTACATTAATCAAATTTAATATGCATGCAAATCTTTGGATTTCTCTTTGGTGGCGGATTAAAACAATGCCTTCGCTGTGTAGGACAACAGCCCAGACTATGGTAAAGTCTTTTCAATGATGATTCTAGGTCATAGTGAAGAATTAACTAATAATGCAAGTTTCAGTTTCCTGTTGGAACAGTGCAGAGTACAGGCACAATGTTGATATGCTGCAAGGTGGTCTGGTCTTGTCCATATCTACATAAAAAATGTAAAAAAAATTTTTTAAAAAGAACAGCAATAGAATTAATAGACTGTCCACATTCTAAAAAAAATCTGTTGAATTTATAAAGACTGAATTAGCAGCACTGGTGTGTTTGTGGGGGTGGATGTGCACGGAGAAAAGCTTATACTGACTTTGGATGGTTTCGATGTTGCTTACATAAGCTTAGCATTCTTTTTTGATTCGTCTCCACCGCAATTGCCTGGCCAGATGAACTATTACACAAGCTGAGCCATTAAAGAAGCCTACTTAACAGAGTTAGTGACTAGCTGCTCAGATATCATTCTCTGTGTCAGAAGCTACCTTTTAAGACTGTCGTGGACAAGGACATACTGCCATGTAAATGTGTAATGAATCTTCAGATAATCCTTAAATAGGATGTCAGGAGGGTGTAACTTCAGTGAAAAACCACCACCACAACATATGAGCAGCTTAATCCTTATGTGGATATAAGCCATCATGTGAAATTCAAAAAAAAAATATATATATATATTTTTCAGAAGAGTTTTTTTCCCCCTCAAAAACTAGGGTCGGTGCATTACTGTGGCAGATGATGTAACGTCTCAGACTGCAGTCATAAATGTCACACCTTCTGGTGTTAGACAGCTGATGCAGGCCTTATTTCCTCTGAGATGTCACATAGACCTGTGATGTCTTGTGATGCTCTTTCCCAATGTGTCAATGCGGCACAAGGTGTTTTTAACCAAATCATAACTTTAAGATTCACCGGCATGACCTCTTGTACTGAAAAACGGTGCAAAATCCATTATATGTGTTAATTCCATAACTTTCTATGCTTCAAGGTTGTTGATTTCTTTTAGAGTGGCCTAAGAAAGTATTTGGACTCTTAAGCAACACTTAATGAATGTCAATGGATTAGATGTCAAAATATCAAAGTAAGTGACATTTGGCAAAAAAAATAAAAAAAAGATTTTATAAGCAAAATAAGCAAAACATTTCAGAAAAAAATACATTTGTTTTAAATAATAAACAACACTAAAAAAGAGGAACTAACCTTTACTTTGTCCAATATAGTATGTCCAATAAAATCACCAAAACACTCACTAAGCAAATATGAAGACAAGTTAGGTGTGAAAAAAAGCTCCTGCAGTATTTGTTTCCATTTAGTTGATATTTTACCTAATGAAATTAAATGTATACATTTTTAGTGTCGCTTATTTTTTTCACTGTATGAAAAAAATTTGTGGATGACTGCATGGTTATTTTGTGTGATCCTAATACTGAATTCCTCAATGCGTAAAATCTGTATTGTCTTTGACATAACCCGTCTTCATTTTCAGGTCTGGAAGTGTACAGCACCACTGGAATGAGATCTACTACTTTGTTGATCACCTTGCACACAAGTTCATCAGGTGCAATCAGTTTACTGTCATTATTATAATCTATTTACAAATTCAGGTATGTAACAACGTTTTAGGAAGTTGTTCTGTTGTGGTTGAAATGAAATTGTAAAAAAAAAAAAAAAAAAACTTTACACTGCAGTAAACAATTTTGAGTTGCCAGCCACTGTCCAAACAATATCATAAAATATAATTAAAAGGCTGCAAAGCCAATTTAAATGCTAAGGACATGACAGCTTGTATAGCAAAAATAGCTATAATGGAAATCCTATTAGGCCCAATTAATGTCAGCTTGGGGGCAACTGCAGCATGAATAGCATGAATGGTCTATAAATAAAAAAAGAAAATCTTACCTATTATGCTCTGTCTTCAGCCCCCAGCTCCGTATGTCCTTCATAGTCTTTTCAACGGAGGGAAGGATCTTGATGAAACTGACCGAAGACAGGCAAGAGTTCAGAGCACATACTGTGATTTCATACTACCAACAACTCTGACTGAAAATCTTTCGATTACTTTAATTTTTTCTTTGTACCTGCTGTCAGTTTTATTTGTATCTTGTATTTATCAAACAAATCCAGAAGAGCAGGGAGCACTCATTCCCATGCTGGTCCAAGCTTAATGCTGGTGACCGCTGTTTTGGTTTTGGCTTAGCTGGTCCAAATAAAAATAAAAGAGTTAATTACATTCATTTTTAACTGTCTTCTTAACTATGTTTTATTAATTATTTAAACAAAAAGCAGTATAAAATGTCAAAAGGCAAAAATTGAATGTTCAGGGATCAGATTCGTGCTGGGCTGGAGGAACTTCAGCGAGTCTTACCAGGTGGAGATACCTTCATGCACAAAGGTTTTCAGAGGGTAAGAGGTTTTTTGTCACCACTGATTCCAATAAAGTACATATGAACAAAAGCACTGTTCATTGAAACAAATATTTATGTGTTTTTTAGGCAAGCGAGCAGATATACTACGGAACAGGTGACGGTACGTTATCACATTTAGATGGCTTCTGAGGTGACAGATGATATTGACCAGACATTTTAAATCTTTAGATTGATTGATTTTTAAAGTATAGTCTACTATATATACCTTTCAACAGAGCTACAACAACGTCAAAAGTTAAATTAAGATGTGGTCATATTTACGAAATATAGCCTACAGCAATTTCAATAAAACTCGACGCAAGAGGGAACTTCGTGGGTGTTTCCAAATTCCACACGCAAATTTTAGGTTCTGAAAACTGATTGTGGCATGGTTTGAAAGCGACTTCTGTGCAAACTGTGCTTCATACATTTCTACACTCTTGACAATACTCAATGGACCTTTTATTGGTCCGTGAAATTTCACCATTGTGACCGCAATTTTAGTCATTTATCGACAAAACATAATTAGGCTACTGTCTTTATATTGGTCCGTGAAATTTCACCATTGTGACCGCAATTTTAGTCATTTATCGACAAAACATAATTAGGCTATATATTATATTATATTATATTATATTATATTATATGTTGGATATCACAAAGAAAGTTTAAAACATGTTAATGACAGATGACGGTTAGCTAACTGCGTGAGACTCGAAACGAACCTCAAAGAACGATTACGCCTGTTTCACACCGCTTGACAGCTTGAGCTTCGCGTCAACGTAACTACATTGTCACTGCAGCTGCAGTCTTCCGAGAGTATTCACACTGGAAACGTTAGTACAGTGCAGGGCCGTCCTTAGCTGATGTGGGGCCCGGTGCGAGATAGGGAGGGAGTTCCCCTCGGTCCGCGGGGCCCCAGCAAGCCCACCAGTTGCACCCCCCTAAGGATGGCCCTGGTACAGCGTCACAGCAGCGGCTCCAAAGCTACATATTTCTTTACAAAGACAACTATAAACTTCTTTTTAGAAGTTGGTCAGTTATGAACGTGAAAGTTTTAAAGTCTTGAAAGTTTGTTAACATGGGGATTTGCATGTTAACGTGGGCATTCGCATGTTAATGGTAAACGATAAAAACAGCTCCGATCATGTCCTTTCAGTCTTAGCCTACTCCAAGAAATTACAGACAGCAATTCTTAAATAAATAAATAAATCGCCAACCCTGAAAGTTGTTGAATTATTCATACCTCTATACAGTTTTCAGAGATTCTGTGACTATTAGTTTCTCTCTTTTTGCTGTTAGGATACCGCACAGCGAGTGTCATCATTGCTCTGACAGATGGAGAATTGCGCGAGAATGAATTTGACTTGGCAGCCAGAGAGGTGAGACCTTAGACCTTGGATATTTTTACAGAACTGACATATTTTCCTATTCTTTCTCCCCTGAGCATGAAAAAATGTGCTTCAAACCAACAATCTTTAGCTGTGACTTTACCCGCAAAGTCAGCAGCTATTTATAAAATAAACTGAACCTTGGACCTTCTTTCTCTCAGACTGTGGCTCCTTTATTATCTAGATCATATTTGCATAGTCTGATATTTCACATGAGCTGACTCTAATGACCGAATATTTGCAACTCAATAAATTGTTCTGATCCCTTTCTTTAATGTGTTCAAATGGCAGGCTGGTCGTTCACGTCAGCTGGGAGCTTCTGTGTACTGTGTTGGAGTGAAAGACTTTAATGAAACCCAGGTGAGGTGGCCTCTGCATACAGGTCAGAATGATTTGTCTATTCATTGTGAGCAGGTCACCACAATCATGATCTTTCAGTAATTGAAATACAATGTAAGAACAAAAGAATTACAGAAGCATTTTTCATGATTTCTAATTCGGTCGCAGCTGGCAACAATAGCTGACAGCAAAGATCACGTCTTCCCTGTTAATGATGGCTTTGAAGCCCTGCAAGGGGTCATCGATTCGGTGAGTGGATGGAATGAAATTTAACTCAGTTACAGCTACTCTCATTTCTTTCTATTGATGATTTTATTGATGTATCAAAGGAGCAATGCCATACTCCTTTAAAAAAAAAGGACATCTATGACTTGCAGAACATTCAAATATAAATGCATTCGTCTTTTCTTGCCTCAGATCCTGAAGAGATCCTGTATAGAGATCCTCGCTGTGGAGCCCTCAAGTATTTGTGCAGGAGGTAAACAGACATCAGGCCTGAAGCAAAGACCTAGTTCAGACAGGCAACAATAAAAACTTTTTTTTTGTCATATGCAACCGCAAAACACCACATGAAATCTGAATTTTACAAAACCGATACAAACCTAAAATGTTAAAATGGGATTTTTGGAAGTGCATTTCAGTCTGAATGGTCATATAGGACTGCAAATTCAGGACTCAACAATAAGGACTGCACGATGGCCAGCACGTGAAAGACGTTCGAGACAGTCGCCGGATCTGTCACTGGAAATAAACTGGATGTTTATCATTATATTTGATCCATGCATTTTCTCTTAAAGTAACTGTGCCTAATTTACAAACTGCTCTCGGTGTCTTTAATATTAATGTAAAAAAAAGAATCACTTACTGCACTTGACTGAATAACTTTAATCTATATTTAATTTATACAGTGAAGAGTATGCAATGTTATTTTACATTTGAATATAAATTTCTGTACCTGAACACCTACAAACCTAAAAACCAAAAGCACTGTTTAATTTGTATCTTTGTTCTGTTTATTTATTTGTGGTATTGCTTGTGACATTTGTTCTTATTTACAGGCTGTTCACTTGTCTTTAATAATGTTTGAACTTTATATTTGTAAGGCTAGTAGTTTTTGCTGTGGTATTGAAATTGGAATTGAGAATTGTAAAATTTAACCGGTATTTAAAATTTTGATATCATATAAGCTTATTCATTAGAATACAAGATAACATGGGTCAAAAACAATAACAACTTTTTTTTTTTTTTTTTTTTTTTGTGGCAGGGCCAATGAAAACGTTGGCGCGGCAAATAAAAATTTGAACCATTGGCCCAACTGGGCCAGCAGAAAAAAATCCTTACCATTGAGCCCTGATTTTTTTCTTTTTAATCAGGACACAGCATGTATTTAACATCAAACACAATGTCTTTCCTGTATCCCAGAATCCTTTGAGGTGGTAGTTCGAGGGAACGGATTCCTTCACGCCCGCGATGTGAACAGAATCCTTTGCAGCTTCCGTATCAACAACACCCTCACCGTGAGTAAGTGAAAACAGCACAGAACCATTCCTGTTCCTTACACTGCCAGCTGCTGAGTTATTAAAGGTTTAACCTGTGTTAGCATTAGCTGCTAACCAACACATATCTCCTCAATTGATAAGGAACAAGAGTGATAGTTGTTAAATCACAGAAACTTTTATTTGATGAGTCCAGGCCAGGCTAAACTCACTGGCAAATGTAGCTACATTAGCAATGTCGTCGCTCATGTGGCAGTGCAGACAGCTTTGTTTTTGTCTTTTGTAATGGTAAGGAAACCAATTGAATCCAAATGTCAGTACGGCTGTCGTGTTTTCTACAATGGGACGTGAGCTAGCATGCCGCCCGAAAAAGGTTGGCCGCAGCACTTGTAAATCACAAGACTTGACTTCAACGCAAACCACATGTGCACAAACACACATCCACACAGCATTAAAAACACACCATGGAAAATATTACCAGGACTTTTTGTTAAACATATTAGAGGTTTTTAGTTGGTTTGTATATGTATCAGTTTGATAAGCAAGTGCAGAGTTAATCCAATGTAATGAAAAGCACCTTCAAAGCTCTTTTTCACATTTAGGTGAACAATTTCAATTCTGTTAGGTTATAGCGCCAAATTATACTCCCCATCGTACGACTCTTGCATAACTGTTATATTGGGTAACAAATAAAATGGCTCAACGCACAGCGCTTGGAATGCTGGATTTATCTTGGAAGCAAATGGTTAGAAATTGGTCTGCTGCGGTGTTGATGTCCTAATAATTTCTGAGCTCTGAGCATCTATCCTTCTCTCACAGCTGCTGTTTTACTTAAAGAATATCAGATGGCATGGGGGAATGCAAAGCCCATCTCACCAGTATGTGTGCGCACGGGTCTAGGCCAGGATAAATAGGCTTAGGAGTCAAACATTTTCCAGTTTCTCATTTTTCATGTCGGAAAAATGACAAGAGAATAAAAATTCTGCCCTTTAGTTTTAGGCTGAACCAAAATGGTAAAGCTATGCAATACAGTTTCTGTGTTTTTCTTCTGAAAATAATTATTAGTGGTTATTGCAAAGGCAAGCATCACTATTACTTATACGTAGTGGCTTTTCAAACTTCTGCGCATAACTTTTCTTGAACTGTGCTACAAGCATGAACAATAGCTCAAATCATGCGGCTCATTTGGAAGAGGTGTAATTTTATAAGAAAATGATCAACAACGCCCCATAGATTTACAATACGAGAGGGACTTGAGTCATATCTGCAGAACAAAATATCATTGAGATCATTGAGAGGTGGACTCTCTTGACTTGAGCCAGTAAGTAACCACCTAGCAACCACCCAAAACAGTCTAAGAACCATATAGTAACACCCTGGCAATCACCCAGAACACTCTAGAATCATGGCATTGAGTTATGCATTAAAGGAATAGTTCAGCTAAAAATTAAAATTTGCCAAAATTTACTCACTCTCAAGTAGGGCAGGGTATCAACCATCGAGTATCGAAAAATACCATTGAGTATTGAAAAATGTCTTGTCGTTCGGTACCAAATTTCGATACCTAAGGGGTTAATCAAGGAAAAACACTAGTTGTGTTCGGCTTCATGAGGCACTGCGCAGATCAATCGGTGTTTGACATGAAAGTACTGCGAGAGCGATTCAAAAGCTTACGGAGCAGTCTGCTCTCTAAAGCTCTCGCGGTACTAAAAGATGTGGAAACTAAAACCTAGCCTAAAAGATGTGGAAACTGAAAACTATTGGAACTTTTTAAAAACTATTGGCACTGTCTGATTTATTGTGTTGGTTACATTTTGTTCCTTTGTGCTTTTTTTATGCTCCTTTGTGCAGTGGCTCAGGAGATGAGTCTTTGAGTCTGTAAAAACGTCAACAAGCTAAAAAAAAAAAAGTTTTTTAGGTAATGTGTAATGTAATCTTGTTGAAACAGATTTCATAAAACTGGTATCAAAAAAGTATAGTTCAGGAAATTGTATCGAAGTCAAGGTAATCGGACCGGTATCTGTATCAATATTGAAAATCTAAAATTTTTGGACGATACCCAGCCCTACTCTCAAGCCTTACAAGGTGTAAATGAGTTTGTTTCTTCATCAAAACACATTTGGAGAAATACAATGGATCCTCTGCAGTGAATGGGTGCCGTCAGAATGAGATTTCAAACAGCTGATTAAAAACATCACAATAATGCATAAGTAATCTACACTACTCCAGTCCATTAATTAATGTCTTGTGAAGAGAAAAACTGCTTGTTTGTAAGAAACAAATCCATCATTATGACCGTTTTAAGTTTAGACCATTGCTTCTGGCTAAAATATGAGTCCTTCATCCATAATATTGCATTCTCACTGAAAACGAATCAGGAGAGAAATATGCACAGAACACTGTATAAAAGTGAAACAGTCCAAATCAGGTCTAAACAAATATGTAAGTGGATTTTGATGTGAGAGGACAACAGGGGATGGACTTTTTCACTGGATGAAGAGTTAGTATGGATTATGGACTCATATTTTGGACAGAAATGAAGGTTTAAAGTTAAAACGTCTTAAAGATAAATTTGTTTCTTATAAACACTCAGCTTTTCATATCACAAGACCTTAATTGATGGACTGGAGTATCATAGATTTCTTGTGGATTATTGTGATGTTTTTATCAGCTGTTTGGACTCTCATTCTGACGGCACCCATTCACCGCAGAGGATCCATTGGTGAGCAAGTGATGTAATGCTACATTTCTCCAAATCTGTTCTGATGAAGAGACTCATCTACATCTTTGATGACCTAAGAGTGAGTAAATTTTAAGCAAATTTTCATTTTTGGGTGACCTATTCCTTTGAAAAGAACTACTCGCATTATTCTCCAAAATATAAAATCTGGTTTATTATTGATTAGTTCATTACGAACAACAATAAATGTTGCATGCTGTGTTATTTTTGGTGGACTCTACACTGCCGTTCATATGTTTGGGGTTGGTAAGATTTTTTTTTTAATGTAATGATTTATAATTATATTATAATTATTATAAATTAATAATATTGTAAGATGTTATTACAACTTAAAATAACTGTTTTCTATTTCACTATATTTTCAAATGTAATTTATTCCTGTGATGGTAAAGCTGAATTTTCAGCATCATTACTCCAGTCTTCAGTGTCACATGGTCCCTCAGAAATCATTCTAATATGTTGATTTGATGCTCAAGAAACATTTATTATTAATATGCTTATCAATGTTGAAAACAGTTGTGATGCTTAATTTTTTTTGTGGACATTGATACATTCAAGACTGATAAATAGAAAGCTCAGAAGAACAGCATTTATTTGAAAAATAAATATTTTATAACATCATAAATGTCTTTACGGATCAATTTATTTTGTCCTTGGTGAAAAGTATTTATTTCTTTTAAAAAAATTTACTGACTCCAAACTTTTAAATGGCATGGTGAAACTATTTTTGTAAGGGTGGTTCAGACTGGCCTATAGGTTGAGCTGCTGTTAAATTATCCACAAACACCTTGTAAAATGAAACCGAATCACTGATATCAAGCCTGAGGACATTCACCAAGCTGCTGCTTTTTCTGTGTGTTGTTATTCCCCAGTGAAGAGGCCTCTGGTAGTTGAAGACACATACCTGCTCTGCCCAGCGCCTGTACTGAAGGAGGAGGGAACGTAAGTGTTGCTGGAAACTTTCGCTTCAACTGAAGCAAATAAAGCTAGAATGGAAAGAGAAACACACAAGCCAAGACCATATTAAAAAATAGGACAGAATGACGCCCAGCTCTCTCAAAGTAACTCTATGAAAGTAACTCTTCTCCCATGCACTTTAGCACTTTCAATTTAAACTGCTTGTGAAGCATTGTAAATTGTCATAATTGTTGTAAATGTTCATAATTTCAAACTAAATGTAACTTTGTAACTTCACTGACTATGTAACTTTCCTGTAAAAATAATGCAAAAAAATTAAAGAATAGAAAAGATCAATTTAAGCAATATAATTACACGTAGTCACTTTTTACTGTACAGTGGAAACAGTAAAAGGATGTTCCCAGAAGTCCCTGCATAACCCATCATACTTCATTCTATTGTACTGGTGCACATATTTTAAATTTATGTTATACTTAAATTATTTTTTTCGATTTCACAGGACAGTACACATTATATAAAAGTGTGCAAATAATAATTGTTCTTATTTGCATTTTTCTTGAGCAGCAAATCAGCCTATTAGAATGATTTCTGAAGGATCATGTGACACTGCAGACTGAAGGAATAAATTACACTAAATTATATTACAATAGAAAATAGTTATTTTAAATTGTAATTTGTAATTGTAATTTCACAGTATTATTGTTTCTACTGTATTGTACTGTACTATATTTTGATCAAATAAATGTAACCTTGGTGAACATTTCAATAACTTAAAAAAAATCGTACCAACCACAGGCTAATGAACGGTAGTGTATTTTATATGTAATTTAGCACAACTGGAACACTTTTTTGCATTCAGCTGGAAAATCTGCAGAATGGGTTTAAATATGGTAAAATGTGTTAAACTGTACTGAAAGATATAATAGACAAGATTTTTCCTGACTGAACAAAAAATTCTTGTTGTGGATCATTCTTTTGAGAATTTGAAATAAAATCAGTCAGTCAGTTTTGTCTGTCTCTTTTTCGTTCATAGGACTGCCTCCCTCCATGTCAGTATGAACAACGGCCTGAGTTTTATCTCCAGTTCTGTGACCATCACGACTGTCAGCTGTGTGAGTACAGTAACCCTGCAGGGCAGCAGTGCCAAGCCCACTCCCACTGTTACACTGGGCAGAGCCACTGCCAGTACCCCTACACTGGGCAGTACCTCTATTTCAGCTCCATCATCAGTCTGCCCTCTGAACACAGTCAGTATATTCTGTCCTACTTGCCCTCTCTAAAAACTAACGCTCGTCTGGTGGGGTGCCATTCCAAGAGTAAACCGATAGATCGCAGCAGTTTGGTGTTTTTTTTTTTTGCTATGGGGCAGCCGACTGCAGACGCCAAACAACACGGTGCAGAATGTGCGAATGTGACAGTGTTTCATTATTAAAAAGTAAATTCAGGTCACATTTCACCCCAGGGGAAAAAATAAATAAAATTATATATATATATATAAGTGCTGTCAATGATTAATCGCGATTAATCGGATCCAAAATAAAAGTTTTTGTTTACATAATATATGTATGTGTACTGTGTACTGTGTATATTTATTATGTATATATAAATACACACACATGCATGTATATATTTCAGAAAAATGTTATATTTATATATCAAATATATTTATTTATAATATAAATTATATGAATATAAATATATGCATGTAAATGTTAAAAATATACACTGTATGTGTGCATATTTATATATACATAATAAATATACACAGAACACACACATATATAATGCAAACAAAAACTTTTATTTTGTATGCGATTAATCGTGATTAATCGTTTGACAGCACTAATATATTTATTAAAATATTCTATAATACAGTGATTTTTAAATGAGCATGAAGGCGTGATATACAAAATTTACAATTAAAATATGTATTATTACTTTTTTGCATAACAGTATAAATTACTATTATGAAAATAATTACATAAATGTATAATGTCAGTGCTGCAACAAATCTTAAAGGTCTTAAAATAGGCCTCATTTTAATTTCAAGCAAAATATAGATGTTTATTTCTTTCCTTTTATTTTGGGGTGAAATATGACTCTGAAAGATTTATTTTACAGGTTTCGTGAGATACTATATTTGACTTCACATAAGGTAAAAAAAAAAAAAAAAACCTGAATATAAGATGCCTTTTTAAGGGGTTCCTGGCATCGTCACTCACACTAAGATCAAGATAGTGTTTTAAAAAGCTTGCAGCAACTCCTATTAATATTCTCTCTCTTAACTACAATACACCGCAAATTTTTAAGTGGACCCCCATCCAGAAGGGTTCGAGTGTGGCATGAGGAAGATTATTCAATGTTTATTTCCTTTGGACCATAAACCTCCACTGGATGTGTGTTTCTGCTTTGTCCATCAGACCGACGGAACATTCTTGGCCATAGCACTGCTGATACTGCTGCTGCTGATCACTATGGCGACACTCTGGTGGTTTTGGCCCCTCTGTTGCACAGTGGTAAGTCTCGCACTGGAGCCCCTCATCTCAGCTTTCTTTTTCAGAAGTTACCCCAACCAGAGCCCAAAATCCAGTTATTACAGTGCTGAAAAGTGGTTTTCAAGCAGTTTTTGTGCCCAGTGATGTCTTTTCTGAAGTGCAAATCAAAATGAAATTCTGAGCCATGGAAAAAGTTTTGCTAAGAAGTGAGATGGAATAAATAACATTTGTATTAGAATCTGATTTCCATTCCTTCAAAAACGATACCTGTGACATGAAGGGCTATAACGTCAAAAAATAAAGGCATTTATAATGTACTTCTTTTCACAAATAATTGTAACTGAAATTAAAATGCATTCTAATATTTGCATATTCCTTGGTTGCAGATTGGTTTTGTCATATTTTTTAATGCATTATAGCATCTAAAGGTGTAATAATAGATAAGTATTATAATGTGATGTATATTATAACTGCTTACAGTTATTCATGAGATCATACAATGCATTATACAGTGCATTACCAGGCATAATTAATGCCGTAAAATACTTCTATAATGCATTATATATAAAGGTTTCAGACATTTTAGTGTTAAGACAATTTATTTTCATTCTTATCTCAACAGATCGTCCATGAGCCGCCGTCACCAGTCATGGACTACAGTTCGGTAAGAGTTCATTTGTTTGGTCTTTCTTCCATGTATACTGAGTCCTGAACTGCTTCAAGATCACATATCACAGCCAGAAGCTGGAAAAAAATCTGATTGTATGTCCATCTTCGGACCTGAACGTTAAGTAACTTGGTAATTTTAAAGGAATAACGCATCTAAAGATTAAAATTGTGTCATCATTTACTCACCTTCATGTCGTTATGAACCCATGTAATTCTTTTGCTTCTGTGGAACACAAAAAGGAGATAGTTAGCAAAATGTCCAGGTTGTTATATCTGTATACATGTAAAATTGATAGTACCTGGAGCTAGTGCTAGGCGGTATGACCAAAAATTTATATCACGGTATTTTTCAAAATTATACCGGTTTCACGGTACATGACGGTATTTTTTTTCCGGGTGTTAACCATATTCTCTACTGATTGAGAGAGGAAATACTGCAGTATATTGACTTAGAATGCCCTATTTTACTGTCACGATGAGTGAATATT